TATGTATGTATGTATATATACATATACACATCGTGATCGGCCTTAGGACTTAGGAGTAGAATTTTATGGTTATGTAAAAATTATCAAATGTTATGAACCAAAATATTCACACTGTCACATTATCAAATATATATGTGGGCCCAGAAATCAATACTCACTGCTACCAACTTCATATAATCTACTATTAACAGGATTGTGTGAACTGGCGCTTAATTTCCGATCTCACAATAGTAGATACAAGTTGGTTAAGCTAGTTAGTATAGGGGCACAGGTTGGTGTCGTGAGTATGGGTAAGCAGTACAAACTGCATATTGCATTGCAACAGCGGTGCGGGCTTTTTGTGTACAGATGCTTACATGGATATAATTAATGGCACCTCCGGTGTTTGCGGGTTTAGGAGATGAAACCTAGAAGGCCAAGAAGCAAGTGCGGCGTTTGTAGGCAGAACCGCAGCTAAACAGCAGAAGTCAGCATAGCAGACTCCTTGGGAGACTAGATGTCATGGTAGGCTTATGGGCGATGGCCACCTGGGACGACGGTCAACGGATACGCCTGTAGTAAGTCAAGTGCCACTCCACGGTGGCAAGTTTTTGACCGGTTGTTACAGGCAAACATCAATATTAGAAATTTTCCAGCTGAAAGCGATGGCGATCAGCAGGTGTGGGCAGGAAGGGCGAGTGTGCCCAAACTCAGCTAGATGATACTCCATGCTAAGAACTTTTTTTTTGCGTGCGGAGACCCTGCATTGGTAGACAGAGGAGTGGATGAGGATACCGACGACAACATAGCCAGGCCGCTCGGTTTAGTCCCTGAATTGTTGAAGAAAGCAGCGGGCGGATATCAGGAAAGGTGCCTCGAGCGCGTATCCTGGCTTGCACCTGATTCATCAGGTGCGTGTAGTGATGACAATGCGAGCATCACCGCCGCCATTTAGAGCAAGCCTAGGGCGCAACCTCCGGACTCGTCTGAGGATGAAGACGAGTACATGTCACCAGCCTGTACCTATGGCTTGAGCAGGCCCAGGGCGTGTAACAAGTGACCTTATCCTGCCCGGCGAGCGCCGCGAACAACACTGGGAGGCACACTTGGGCCACCCACGCCGGAGATTCGTCCCAGCTCTGCAAGTTTTACCGCAGCTGCCAGCTTCGCAGGTGAGTACCCCAAGAGAGGGTCAACCGCAGCTAACCCACAGGTCGTGCAGGGAAGACGCTAGTCCTTCATGCAGCAACCTCCCACCAATTCTGTTGGTGTATACCCCAAGTGGGTCACCCTTATAAACTGATGAAAACACAGGGGGGCGTGATGGGCGTATCACATCGTCAACGCAGGTGTTGGCCTCGGGAAGTCACCGAGTGCCTTACCTTTTCCCAGCTTCGCAGGTACGTACCCCAAGAGAGGGTCAACCGCAGCTAACCCACAGGTCGCGCAGGAGAGGCTCAAGCCGTCCATACAGCAACCTCTGACCAGTTCTATTGGTGTATACCCCAAGTGAGCCACACTCAACTGATGAAAAGACGGGGTGTCGCGCGGGAGACGCTCAAGCCGTTTATGCAGCAACCTTCGTCCAGTTCTGTTGGTGTATACCCCAAGTGGGCCACCCTTAGCTGATGAAAAGAGGGGGGTGCATGATGGGCGTACCACAGCGTCAATGCAGGTGTCAGTCTCGGGACCTAAGTCACTGAGCGCCTTACTTCCTCCCAGCTTCGCAGGTTTTACCGTAGCTGACAGCTTTGCAGGTACGCAACCCAAAAAAAATAGTCAACCACAGCTAACCCAAAGGTCACGCAAAAGAGACTCAAGTCCTTCATGTAGCAACCACCGACCAATTATGTTGGTGTATACCCTAAGTGTGCCACCCTTAACAGATGAAAAGATGCAGGCGCGCGATGAGCGTATCGCAGCGTCAACGCAGGTGTTGGCCTCGGGACTTAAATCACCGAGCGCCTCCCCTTTTCCCAGCTCCGCTGGTACTGGCACCAAAGGGTGCACAACCGCAGCTGAGGCTCAGGATCTTTGCGATGTGCTTTCTATCGAGCAGCAAAGCGGCGGTATCCATAGAGACCGGCGGGCGAATAGCATAAGTGATGCCTTAAGTGCGTATCTTAGCTTGCACCCTGATTCATCAGATGCCTGCAAGGATGGCAATGCGAAATTCAAGTCCACTACCTCGAGCAGGTCTAGAGCGCACAACGTGCTACCTATCCTGCTTAATGATTAAGACGAGAGGTAGTCGTTGACAAGTAACTGACCCTGACAGTAGTGCAGAGCCTTTGCGCAGGCCTAGATCACATAATAAGCAGCCTTATTCTGCAAGTGAAGCATGCTCTTTATGTTTTATTCACAATGTCTACGCAGGTGGTGAATGGCAGACTGATGCCTACCATGGCAAACCCTCAGACCAGCTCTTTAGGTAGGGTACCCGTAAGTGGGGGTAGCTCGACTGATGAAAAGGACGGGGGGTCACGATTCAACTATACAACTTCCGAAGCTTTCCCGGACATTCTCCGCACCTGCATGCATGTATACGTTATGCGTTGCACCAACCACGTTGCTGACCTTCGGCCACAACAACTGAACACCCCGGAGGGTGTATAGAAAGCCTCCTCGTTTCGCGCCAACAGCGCCGCATTGGCCTGCCGACGCTTCTCCCTACGACGCCTACACTCCCGCCCAAAATTTATCCGGGAGATGTATCCATTTGGCGTACGAGATACGACAAAGCAGAGTAGACCCCCACGAAGGCTCATTCATTTCTTCATGACTATGCCAAAGAAACACGCCCTTCGGTGGCAAATAACTATCGGTTCCCTCGCCAGCATTTTGATCATGACGCCTCACCACTCCGCTTTGGCATGTAGGGGCACATCAAGATGATCTCCAGTTGCTCGGCGATCACCTTTGCCGACCCTCTGGGAAACAGCACCCATGGCGCGTTGGCCCAAATGTTCAAACCCACCCAGGATTCCGCCAAGACACCCCAATCAGTCGATGGGGAGAAATGCCTTTGCAACTCACGGTTATGGGGGCCCCATGCCCGCTCGGCCTTTTCACGAACTTTGCCGCCTTATACTCATTGGTCCTGGACTTAGCGTCGCGCGCAACAGAATATCGCCAGGTGACCCGTCGCTTAAGGTTCAACCCCTGGCCTCCCACCTGCTCCATGATGGGTTCTACCTTCACAGACTACAGCCCATAACAAAATTTACAGATTAAAGTATAAGGTGTATAATACCTCCACACTATCTTAGACAGTAAAACAGATTGTAGGTTCAATCCCATAAGACAGCCCTTCGGTGCAAAGTCTATCCTCCCGCTCTTGTTAGATGGAGGACCCTCCACCATCTAAGGTCCCCCCCGGGGACCCCCCCCCCCGGGACCCTAACACTCCTACACATCTCTTTTCAACGCCCTTGCCGATGACCCCTAGGGTCCGTCGCAAACTCGTCCCTGTGCCACATAGAGAGCAAAGCCTCATGGTCCGAGAACAGTGTCGCCGGGTGTTGCGAGCGCTCCTGCATGAGCCACAGACCTGTGCCAGCCACTACCTATCGGTAACATGGTAGTTCCGTTGGGCAGGGGCGACCTTGGAGGAAATATAGGCTACAGGCCACAGCTTGCCATCCCGGACCACAATAGAGGGGTCCACAACTGCTGCTGCCGCTAGCTCCTTCAAGAGCGCTTCAGTGCGGTTCAATTTGCGTCGAGATTGAGAGAATCCAACCACTAGTTGTCGAGTTATGGCGTCCTCAACTTCGGCCCCAAGATTTGAGCTGGATGGAATGGCTTCTCCATCGATGGCGAAACCGAAATTTTCGGACAGGTCCAATACTTCCTTTTCACTCCGGATTTGTGCTGGAGTGTCCTTTAGATGTGGAGTTATAATGTCCCCGACATTCGTATCCACGAATTTTCCAGCCTTTCGACGTTTATCCCCAATATTTGACGGCACGTGGTCAGGGGGCAAGCTGGGGTCCTGAGCTTCACTCCCAGGTGATACACGGACGCTGGCGAGCCTTTCCGCGGCAGTAGATACCTCTTCTTCCAAGACTTTAGGATCCGACGAGTCATCCTCAGAATTATCCTCTGTACCAACCTCAGAATTGGCTTCCCCATCAGTTTCCTCGGCAGGCTCAACTCCAGACAGCCA